CTTATTTATTTATTATTATATATAATAAAATAATAAAAAAATATATAGTTTATTTTAATATACAAATATATCATCTGAAATATAATACAACTTCACCGTTACAATATTCTACCCTGCTATACAACGCTGGAGACATTATGAAGTAATAAATTAATCCAGGTCCCAGCCCATCTGATGCCACTGCCGCCCACCCCACATAAAATTGATCCTAGTAGAAGAGGAGCCTTCTGCCCGCTCCGGCAAATCCAAAGTTATCCCCCACTGACCTCCCGTTCGATCATCAGCAAAAGTGACTGCAACCCTACCCAGAAATCAGAAGAACAGTCCAGAGAACACCATCAATGGCTACTGGGTATGACTCGCTTGATCTAAGGCCCTCCTCTCTTATCACATTATCACTTTGTTTCTCGAGTTTTAGCTTCTAGGTTGACTTCAATTCGCGTTACTTTCTGATCATTTCCTGTTTTTTTCCCCTGTCGTGATGATTTTAGTGCGGAAGAGGATTTGCCATTGCCACTAGATGCTACAGCGGAGCAGCCAAATCTCTTTGATGGAACCACAAGGTTTCCTTCTTTATCTCTGGTTTTTACTACGCTCTGTATATGATTTTCTTTGAATTATTAATTCATGCCCTTTTGAAAAATTTACTATTCATTATGTGAAGCTTTGTTATTGTCTTTTGTTTTTCTTCCTCTGATCCTTGTGCTGCTTTTTCCTTGTCTAAAAGGTTATATACTTGTTACACGTGTCCATATGCGCAACGTGTGTGGATCACAAGGAATTACAAGGTTGTTTGTTCTCTGATCGCTCAATTAAAATTTGTTATGATTTTTGCAAACTTCATGCATCTTTTGATTTGTTAGAATAGCTTCTTTGATCATTTGAGAAGTTTTTGGAGAAACCCATTTGAAAAAATTCCTACTTTGCCAAAAAAAGGGAGAAATCACTCATGATTCCGATTGTTTTGTCTTTTCTTTTTTATCATCTAACTTTACTTGACAGCAGGGATTAGAAGACGAGATTAAATTGGTTCCTCTAAACCTCCGGAACAGGCCTGCATGGTATAAGGAGAAAGTATACTCCCTAAATAAGGTCATTTACTTCCCAAAAACAACTCTTGTTTGTCTATTTACCTGAATATATAAATTATTACAAATGAGAGGATCCATATGGTGTTGTTTTGTTATCTTCTTTTATACTTAAATTTTTGATACTTTGAGCAGGGTGTCCCATTTACTCAATTGACAAAGTACTAAAAATGTTTGTCTGAAATAATTAATAGATGCCTTGCCTTTGAAATCTTGGTTCTGTTTCGCTTCACATTTTGTTAACTAGTTGTCATCATTATGCTCATAAGTTTGCTTTGATTGCGAATTGAGTATAGCTTGCTGCTTGGCATATAGTTGTACTGACCTGAAAAGTGCATAATTTCCTTCAAGATAAGGGTGTTTAAGGTTTTCTGCAATGCAAGCTCAGACTATGGTTCTAATAGAGGCACATTAGTTCTGATACATTCTTAACAAAAGCAGATTCTCGTTCATGTTTTCATGCACATTCAAGTTCAAATTCCTGCTATACTTTGAAATAAAACTGTGGGACAAGTTTGGTGATTTACCAAGTATGTTAGCTTGCTACTTCGAGTAATCATTCTAACTATTATGTTCCTCCTTTGCACTTTCTCAGGTCACAAGCAAACACATATGCCATTAAATTGTTTTTACACTTCTCATTGTTATTTTACGATAACAATTTATTAGTGGAGCCACGAGTAATTTCAAATTCATTGAATGTGAGTATTTCTTATCTATAGGTTCCATCATTGGAACACAATGGCAAAGTCATGGGGGAGAGTCTTGACTTGATCAAGTACGTAGACAGTAACTTTCGGGGGCCTTCCCTTTTACCTGATGTAAGATTGGCTGAATTTTCTTCTGGATTTTGATGGGAGATTTTGTTCTCTCTATCTCTCTCTCTATCTCTTTCTGTCTCTCTCTCTTGCTGTCACTTAAGATAGTGAGTTGAAAATCTGTAGGATCCTACCAAAAGAGAATTTGCTGAAGAGATGCTTAGATATACTGATACATTTAACATGGCCGTGTATATTTCACTTAATGGAGATGCTGTGAAAGAATCTGGTAACATTTAAGGCTTGCTGCACTTCCAGTGGAAAGCATTGTGTCCATTGATTGAGCTCCCCAAACATTTACTTTGTTTTTATCAGGACCTTCTTTTGATTACTTAGAAAATGCCCTGCATAAATTTGACGATGGCCCATTCTTCCTTGGTGGATTTAGCTTGGTAAGCTTCTCATATCAAACATCTAAGGATACAATTTCATTCTACATAGCAGCCATGGGAAAAATGTAATAGGTTGTGAGATGGAAATCAGATGTGCAAATAAATTGATTAGAGATATACTCTGATGCTTTCTGTATTACTTATCAATTAAAATCTGTGATTTCAGGTGGATATAGCTTATATTCCATTTGTCGAGAGATTCCAAATCTTTTTTGCAGATGTATGGAATTATGACATAACAGAAAGCAGGCCTAAACTAGCAACATGGATTGAGGTAATCTCAAACGAAACATACTTCAGAATATTTTTTTTAATAAAATAGCTAATTGATTCCTGCTTGTTAGTTATCTTATCCATCCATAGTATATTGAGCATGAAGTTGACAGACTTATCAATGAGCAGAATATTCCTCTAGTCGAGCTATTTGAGTAAACATTCATTGTTCTCTTTCGAAGTTGTCACTGCATTAGGGTTGTCACCACGATAAGTGGTTTCCTTTCTAGTTTAATTTCAAAGATTTACTTTCTTGCTGTGAATGCCTTGGCAATGTTCTTAAAACTTCTCAGTCTAAATCAAGTACGATCCTGCATGTATATTAGCTTCTCTGATTACTGTGATTATCACAAGATTTTTATCTAGTTCTTCTTCAGACATTTTTCCTTATATCCTTTTACATCAAGTTCTTTGTCAAGAAACAGTATTTATGTAGTTTAAGATAAGAATTATATTATTGCTATGTTAATGAGGAGCTTCAGCTGTTCTCTATGCAGGTTTAATGCTTGTACAAACAATGTTTTGCAATATGGTAATTTAACTATCCTTCTAATTTAAGTTTTTTGGTTGAATTATTTTCTTGTTGATAAAACTTTCAGGAGTTGAACAAGATTGATGCATATAAGCCAACAAAGACTGATCCAAAAGAGCTTGTTGAGTTCTACAAGCAGCGGTTCCAGGTAAAGGATGCCTTAAACATGAATATGATGCTAGCTTGTTATTTCATCCAAGTTAGTTTTGCAAAAGGTAGATTGCTGACATGAGATCTTTATATTCTCCCTATTGCAGGCACCACAGTAAACTCGTCACCTATGATTTTGGTGTCTATACCTACTGTTTTCTTGTTTCGAGCTATAAACTGCAGTCTGTAGTGGATAAATCGAACCGATCATTTTGGTTATTATGTACTATGATGTTGCACAAATAAAAAGCGGATTTTCTATATTGTGATGCATTATATATGTTTTGTCATTTGGTTACTCTTAAGTTTGTATGAATTATTCTTGCATTGGGACTTTAATTATAAGATTTAAATGGTTCTTAAGGGCAACTCTTAGGTGTTTCTGCAGTGTTATGATAGCTGTTTCCTGAGTAGAAAAAAATTGTTCAAGTGTTTTATAAGTACAAATGAACTGGTAGATTCTATAAATATAAATATAAATATAATTAGTATAATTTAAATTCCATCTTTTATAATTTTTTATTAATATTTGAAATAATTAGTTATGTTTATTTAAATAATTATTAGATGCTTTTTACAAAAAAAATATATTTCTAAATGTTGTAGTTTATAAATTATTATATTTATGAAAATACAAGAAACATACAGTCATTTAACTAAATATGGAAGTTTTATTAAAAAATAAGAAAAAATAGAATAGTATAAAATTTAAGATAATACATTACAATTTCTACTAAAAATCTTGATGAAATTGGCTCTAAATAAATTATGCATAAATATTTAAGTAAATTTTATAAAATTCTTAATTTGTTCCAGAAAAAAATTCAACTCTTAAATTAAAACATATTAAATATAAATTTACAAAATAAATTCTCCAATTTCTTTTAGAAGTCATTAGATCCAAGAGAAGAATCAAAGTCCAACGCGGAAGAACAGCAAAATCAACTGCATTTACCTTTCAAAACCACTCACTCTGCAAAAACCAATCTAAAGCATTCTGTTCATGTGCTTCCAAAAGTGAATATTGCAGTGAGAGATCACACAAAATTGTAAAAGTTGGATAATGTTCATGTATTTTTATTATTGTCTCAGTACATGAACAAGTTTATTTTCTTATTTATGCAAGCAACACATTTCCTAACAGCGACCGGTACGGATTTGATTTACGTAAACTGTTAAATATGCATATCGTACTCGTATACATGTATCAAGTTGCTTAGCTGAGGAGAAACTGCATTGAAAGAAACAAGTGTAGTTAATTACTGCAAGGGCTGCAAAGATAAAAAACCAAATGAATTTAGCAATCTACACTTTAGACAATAAAAAACCAAATGCATTTAGCAATCTACTCTTCAGACAATTATCTTTGATAAAAAAATTTCATGTTACTATGTTAGGGATGCTCTAGATGCAGTACCAGAAACCGCCGCCTGTAATACTCAAGAAGCTCATCTGGATCATACTTTGTCTGCTTATATGCATCCATCTTGTTCATCTCCTGCAAAGATGTATTCCCAATAAATCTTATAATTCAAGAGCCCAGAGAGGATTTCGTAAGAACAGCAATTACAATAACGAAAAATCCTTTTTTATTAAGGATTCATTTAAAAGCTTACCTAAAACGCCAACCCTTTTTTTTTTTAGAGCAAAAGAGAAAAAAATATCATGAAAACCCCTAGATGCTAGATATGCATGGCTCTCATCAGATCGAACAATACCACCAGTACGAGTCCTTTAGTAGGCCTTCCAGGGTCCCATGAACTACAACTACCACTTCCTAGATAAGGAATTGATAGAACAGCAAGTGATTCAAGATAAGTAACTAGATACAAGTCCTGTAATAAGCACCCGAGCCAGGAGTTAACTGATTCAATCTTTTAAGGAATTCATAGAAAAACTAGAGAGCAAATAATATTACAAAGCCACAACTCCATACTATAACAAAATTTAAGGATTGCAACCACTGTTAACTCAAGTGGTACAACTCGGTTACCAGAGGGATATTATTGTCCATTGAGAAGTCTGTTGACTTGAGACCCAGTATAACATAAGGGTGAGACAATTAATAACAATTAGCCAATTGCTCAAACTGAAAAACATCTCCAAAAATATAAGGCTTCTCAAAGTACCTCAATCCATGCTGCTAATTTTGGCCTGCCCTCTCTAATATCATATTTCCACACATCTAAGAAGAAGAGTTGGAATCTCTCAACAAACGGAATATTGGCTATATCCACCTGAAATCACTTTTCATCCATAAATAAAACAGAGAACAAGAAAATACATTCAAAATTATTTGACTGTGTTGTCACTTTTCGTTATGGCCTATTACATATTCGTACTGCATCATTAATGATGGATGGTTGTGTCTTTACATGTTCAATAAAATTATGAAAATGCTTTAGGTCAATGCTTTGAAAAGGCATACAATTATGCTCTGAGAAGCTTACCAAGCTAAATCCACCAAGGAAGAAAGGACCATCATCAAATTTATGCAGGGAATTTTCCAAGTGATCAAAAGCAGGACCTAGTCCAATATATCAAACATGTTAAGCTAAACTTGAACCGATACACTAGATTACTTTATTGAGGTGCATCGAGTTTTAAATCCTACCAGCTTCCTTTATTGTATCTCCTTTGAATGAAGTAAAGATAAACATGATAAATGTATCAGTATACTTGACCATCTCTTCAGCAAAATCTTTTTTGGCAGGATCCTACAGATTTTTCACCTCACAACCTTAGTCAAAGTCCTAACAGAAAGAAAATGGAAATTTTCCAACAAGGAAGCAAGAAAAGTTCTGCTTAATTTACATCAGGAAGAAGTGATGGCCCTTCAAAGTTGCAATCCACATACTTGATTAACTCAAGACTCTCTCCAATGACTTTGCCATTATGCTCCAATGATGGCACCTACTGATAAGCATTTTTCATAAATGTAAGAGCAATTTAACAACATTATATTTTGTGAGTTGAGAAAACTACCAAACTGGAACAGAACAAAACAAAAGGCTACCATGCAATTGTAAGCCAAATAAGTTGGTAATGAATCATCCAAGTTATTCAACAGGTTCATTCTTATAAAATACAGGAACTCGAAGTTATGCATACATAACATTCTTCTGGTACGAGTCCGGTGGCAATCATGCGTTCAAATTCATATACTTTAATAAGCTTGACTCCTTGTGGAAAAGGAAACCCGAAAGACACGGTCCTGAGGCAATCATGCATTTGTTTATGCAACTATATGCATATATAGCAGTAGATGTTTTATGAAAGTCAAAATATAACAAAAGCCTAATAGAACTTTGCCTGTTTGATGTACAATATAATCAACTAAATACTTAACAAAAAGTTAGAACATACAGGTTTTTAACCATTGAAACTTGAAAAGTAATTTGTCAAAATGGTAAAGGCAGATCATCTATTCACCATCTAAGACATGAATATATATGACTCATTTAATGACTTGTCAATCGACTAAAATGGCATCCACGGACTATCAAACTTTACCACATCGACCACAGAATTTTCAATAAAGATATCCAAAAAAGTACCGAAGAGGGTTTTATGAAAGTAAATAACCTTATTCTGAGGGTATACTTTCTCCTTATACCAAGTAGGCCTATCCCTGAGGTTCAGAGGAACCAATTTAATCTTGTCTTGTAGTCCCTGCAAGCCAAAGTCGGTCAGACATAGTCGAGAGAGGACAAAACAAGTGGGATCGTGAATTAACTAAAAGAAATTAAAAAATATGTTTCGATAATCTAACTGATAATTAGTCGAATTTTCTGTTGTTTCTTTAATAAAAAAATCTGACAATAAATACAAATACATAAAAAACATGTTCACTTTTTGACAAGAACAGAATTTTTAAATAAACTAATATATTTTAACAAGGTCGTCTATTGCGTCCAAAATTCTCAGATCATTGTCCTTATTCAAGTCCATTCGAGTTGGAGGACTTATTTGTAAAATAAGTTTCTTAGGGAAGAAAAACAAAAAATGGAAAATGAAACTGAAAACTTAAAAATAAACATGAAAACGAGCATCAAAATCAGAAAACAATTTTATAATTCCATACGTGGTTCTTTTTCAATTTGATAAAGGCAGTTATACGAAGAACATATTTTGCAAAAAGAAATAAAAAGGAAGAGAAATCGAAAAATGAGAGAGGAACAACCTTGTAATTTCTAGTGATCCACACACGCTGCGCAAATGGGCAAATGTCGCTAATATACAACCTTGTCGACAAGAAAAACCAACAAAAAATATCAGATGAAGAAATCAAAAGTCAGAATTGATCAATTCAAGTTATAAACCTCGTAGTTCCATCAAAGAGAGGCGGCTGATCCGCAGTAGAATCCAGCGCGGGAGGCAACTTCTCTTGCACGCTAAAATCATCAAAAACGAAAATGAGAAGAAAATAAGCTTCACTAGAGTAAATACAGATGCTAAAACTCGAGGAATTTTCAAGAGATTAAGCGATTCGTACGCAGTAGCCATTGATGGAGTTATCTGGAAGTTTCTTCTGGCCGATGAACAAAGCGCATGGTTTGTGTTAGATTCGTCATGAGCTATTTATAGGAGTAGTTGGTGCAAGTTCAGGGATCAGGAGTGACGTCAAACGTTGTCGTTTTGGATAAACAAATCGGCACCATGTGAAACTGAATAAATTACGTTTCGTACTCCGCCACTAATTTATTTATACAATTATACTTAAGGATAACAATTTTTTAAAAAAGAAAAAAAAATTATTTTTTTATTAAATTTTAAGTAAAACATTGAAATGATATCCATTAAATTTCACTAAAAAATTAATAAAATTTTATATTTATATGAAATATTTATTAATTTTATAATATAATTTATATTTTTTAATTTAATCAAATTTAAAAATTTATAAATGACATATCCTCTTAAATAAAAAATTGTAAATAACTTGTTAAAAATTTATAAATTTATTGTATCGTTCCTTTAAAACGACTTATAGTAATAATTATGCATTCATATTTTACAAAATTAAACTAATATTTTTTTGAATTGGATAAGAATATAACTTGAATTTTGTAAAAAAAATATATTATAAAAATTCAGAACTTAAAATAAAATAAAATTATAAATTAAGTGCGGAAGCGAAATAATAGAATTTAGGGTTTACATTTCTTACACATTAATTTAGAGTGCACAATAAGATTATGAAAATGACCATTCTAAAAGAACAAATGAAAATTAAAGAAATAAACAAAAGACAATATGTTGAGCATTATAGAACGACTTTCACTAGCTTTTGAAGAGAATTCGAGTGGTGAACTATTCACAACCTTCTTGTTGATCGGGATCTGGGTCTTGATCCTTTTGATATGAAATAGTTAATGAAAGAGTAAGTTACATTAGTTCAGTAAGAATATCACACTACTCACCGATACAGAAACTGAAAGTTGGTAAAAATCATAAAAACAACCGATGTAACTCTTGATTTAAGTAAATTCACTTATTATAAAGAAAACTATTTATTGCATATATTTATCGTTGCAAGATTTCAAAAATCGACATATAAAAACAATAACTCAAATAACATTCTAATATCATATTTAAGTGAGCAAGAACAACAATTTTCCCTTTTTATTTGCTTACTAGTATCCTTGGGGGCCCATAGAAATGTCCTACTATGCGTGAATCAATATCCAACATTGTTAACTAACCGGCCGTCCTCATACCCTGTAACACCTAAATTTTTATTTTTATTATTATTGAAATTTTTCTTGATTTTATTTTATCTTAATAATTAATTTATTAGATAATAATTATATAGTTTTAGTTTAATTTAATTTAATTAAATAGAAATAAAAATAATAATAATGATAAAAAGGGGTAAAATTATTTTTTAGATTTAATTGAAAATAATTTTGGGAAAAAGGAGTGAAAATTTGGATTATGAGGGTCTTTTTGAAAAGAAAATAAAAAACCGGAGGTCAAAACGTAATTTAGAAAAATTACGTCAGCAGCCACGTCAGCAGCCTGGTCAGCAGCTCTAGCCAACTAGACACGTCGCGTGGCAGAGATGCTGACACGGGAAGGCCACGCGGAACAGACCACGTGGGCGATCCGCGTGCGCGCAATCGGACGGCTGAGATCCATTCCTGCGCGCATGGACTGCTCAGATCAAACGCGCGTATGGACAGTCTAGATTTGATCACGCACGGACGACTCAGATCGCATCACGATGGATAGCCCAGATTCATTTCTAATTTAATCGCGATCGGACATCCCAGATTAAATCGTGATGGACGGCTCAGATTAAAAGAGGAAGACTATAAATAATCTCATCCACACCCAATCCCAAACCCTAGCCACCAGAACCCTCACCGGAGAAGACAACCCAGCCACCGGAGGAACCGACCGCTGCCATCTGCCGCCGCACCGGAGCACCTTCCGGCCGCCAAACGAGGTAAAATTTCTCTCCTTGGCTCGATTTTTGATGCTGAACATCCTTGTGGCAAAATCGGAGCCAAACCACTGGCCGATTGCCTGGAAAACACCGCCGAAGCCCAGCGGCGCTGCCGCGGGTACCCTCAATTTTTGCCTCCGATAAGGCCCTTCCCGATTCCCGTTCGATATAATTTTTACACCACTGTGACCACCGTCCTTTTCTTTACAGGTTGACCAGAGTAAAACACCAAATCGTGACTTGCACCGAAGGAGTCGCCGCACCTGAGAGCTCCACTGCCAGTAAGTCTCAATTTTCTAGATTTTTTTTGGCCCACCGAGGGCCCTAGGGGTATTTTATCACAGAAAACAATGCAAGTTTGGCCGAATTCGACCGAAAATGGCCAACCCGAGGCGGATCGTCGCCGCTTGTGGCGGCGTTGTCACCGGAGCACGGCGGCTTCCGAAATTAGCCGAATAGGCCCTGGGTCTGATTTGAGATTTTTTGGGGACATATGCAGGTACCAAAAGTGTGTTTCAGTTTTCGAAAAAAAATTCAGAGAATTTAGGGACTGCCCGTAGGCGCAGTGAGAACCCGATTTCAGACTCCGAAACAAGTAAGGATCCCTCACTCTATTTCCTATCACGGTATTAAAGATTAATAAATAATAAAACGGTATTTTATGAATTAATAGATATGTATAATTAATTAAGATTGCTAATGGAGCCTGAACCTGATGTATTTGTCGGTCTGTTCCTGTTTGATATATTTTACAGTTTTGAATGTAGTATGGTGCCTGATGTGTTTATCTATGGTTTCGTATGCATGAATCACAGTTTCATTTATTATGGTTTGAATTATTGGAAACTCGATGTTGTGTTGCCTTGTTTGGTCTCCATTACTGGTTTTTGTGTTTATATTTGATTGGATAATTGAGATTAAAAAACATGGAAAAATGTATGTGAATTGATAAATGGATAATGTGACAACCTAACTAGATATCCTGAGAGATGGTGGACGGACCGGGTCCATAGGGAACCCTATCGGGAATGTGGTCACTCATATCGGACGGGGTA